TGCAATGGTAAGGATGTAATGTCAAATTAGTGTCAACATTTAGTGACGTCGTTTATTTATTTATGAGTCTTTTTTTAGAGGGGTGGCTCCATCAGTAGTTAAATATTGTTTTCCGTATTGCTCTGAATTTGAACATGATTATGAAGTCCAAAAGGCACTATAAAAAACCACTTCTGTTACAGTACAGTTCACTGTGCCATTGATAATAACAATTTAATCTGAAATAGACATTCAACTCTCTAAATTACCAAAGGGCATTCAGTATGAAAGTGAATGTGAACAGTGGTTCCATGCCGAGTGTATTAACTTAAACTCTACAGACTACAGTGCCCTGGGTACCAGCTCAATTGTGTGGCCAAAATCTGTTCAGCCATTTGAACCACACTGACACCTGCACTACAAGTCCTGACAGCACGGATAAAGGCGAAAGTGATGACTCACTATTTATTGGATCACCAAAGTTCTCCTCCTCCCCCAGAACATCGAAAAGGAAACCCAACAACCCAACAAAGCCAAAGGCAAAAGTAACAATACTCAACGTAAACTGCCAGAGTATTCGCGCCAAGAAACAGTCATTTGAATTTCTGATTCATCAACACATTTCAGATGTAGTAACAGGTACATAATCCTGGCTCACTGAAGACATACGCAGTAGTAAAGTGTTCCCCCACTGACCTCTACAACATTGAAAGAAGGAATAGACCCAACGATCCACATGGCGGTGTATTCCTTGCGATCAAGATGGGTCTTTTGGCACCCGGAGAAATTAAACTAGAAACTGACTGTCAGCTCATTCGGTGCAAGATCAACATGCCATGAGCAAAGACTCTTCATGTTGCTGCCTTCTACAGGCTCCACGAGGGAGATGACGAGAGCCTCACAGAGCTCGAAAGGTCCTTGTCAATACTGGGCCCAACCCACTCTGTGGTAATAGGCGGTGATTTCAACTTACCGGGATGAAATTGGAGAAACCGACATTTGGCAATTGCAGATATCCCAATCTCCACCGCAGGCTTGGATCTCTCCTCGATGACCAAGGTCTCACCAAAGTAGTTACTGAACCCATCAGATACCAGAACACATTTGACTTTATTCCTTGTCAGCAATCCAACTGTAGTCAATGAGGTTACCGTTGTCCCAGGAGTGTCTGACCATGATTGCCCTCTCGTCAAGCTAGATGTGAGACAAACCAGGCGGCATCAGATGCGGAGGAAAGTATATCACTCTATAGCAAGGCTCAGTGGGAGAAGTTTTCCGAGAGCATGGAAGCAGTCAGAGATGAGATAGAAGCTAAAGTACCATATGCCTCTGTGATTGAACTATGGCTCATCTCCAAGACTGGCATCGAGAAGGGCATCAATGACTTCATTCCCCAAAAGCTGACTCTACATAAAGCCAACTTACCATGGGTGACAAATAGCATCAGACGACTCATCAAGAAACGTGACAGACTGAGCAACGAGTGCAAACACCTCCGAAAGAGAGAGGGCCTCGTTCCATATGCTATGGAAGAGAAGCTCCGTGATCTCCAAAGAACACTCCAATCTGAACTCAGGAAAGCTTACTGGAACTTTGTCGAGTCCATGTATAATTCTGTTAAAGATGATGACGAAGGTCTAGAGAAGTACAACTGCATGAAGAGATTCTAGCAATTCATCAAGCATAACAGAACTGACAGTGCTGGAATTGCGGAACCCAAATCTGACGGCCTGCTAATCAGTGAACCTGCTGAGAAAGCTGATGCACTGAATAGACAGTTCAAGAAGGTTTTTTACACAGGAAATTCCAATCACTCCTCATCTGTTGCCAGATACTTCTGAACACGAATCGATGGCTGACATAATTATTACCGTAAAGGGTATCGAGAATATGCTTGAGAAACTCAAACCATATAAAGCGCCAGGGCCTGATAGGATCACCCCACGCATCCTGAAGCAGCTACCCAGAGCAATCGCTCCCATCTTATGCAGCATCTACAGACTATCATATGACACCGGCGAGATACCAGATGACTGGCACAAAGCAAACGTGATACATGTTTACAAGAAAGGCGACAGAACCGATCACATGCAGCAACGATCGCCCAGTCTCCCTCACATGTATATGCTGCAAGATGATGGAGCATATCCTTGCAAGTAGCATCATGAGGCGTGGCGATGAAAAGGACATTCTCCACCCCTCCAACATGGGCTCCGACCAAAGAGATCCCGCGAGTAACAATTACTGGGATGTCCTTGTCATGGACTTCAGAAAAGCCTTTTCGACAAGGTCGGTCACCAGAGATTGATGTACAAGCTGGACTACTATGCAGTAAGAGGCAAAATCAACAGGTGATTCACCAACTTTTTTCACCATCGAACCCAACAAGTCGTTCTAGAAGGCCATATGCATCACCTGCCTTTGACGTCGACTCAGGAGTACCTGAAGGCTCTGTCCTCGGGCCTTCTCTATTCCTGTACTACATCAGTGACCTGCCAGACAATCTCTTTTCTCCCGTACGTCTCTTTGCAGACGACGCCATCATCTACCTAGCAATCAAGGGCAGACAAGACTCTCTTGAACTACAGGAGGACCTTAATAGACTTCCTGAATGGTCCTGTGAATGGATGATGGAGCTCAATACGGACAAGCGCAAGGCCATTACAGTGTCCAGGAAAAAGAGCCAGATACGATACTAGTATACCCTGAACAACACACCACTGGAAGAAGTCTCATGAACCAAGTACCTTGGCATCAAAATCACATCCGACTTGAAATGGGACAAATACATCACAAGTATTTGCCAGAAGACAAACAACTCCCTCGCCTTCCTCCGACGAAATATCCGGATCAACTCACCAGACCTGAAGAGTACTGCCTACAAAGCTCTAGTAAGACCACTCATTGAGTAAAGTGCCACAGTGTGGGGTCCCTCCTCTGTAAACCACATCCATCAAATAGAAATGGTACAAAGACGGGCCGCTAGATTCATTTTAAATCGGTACCACAACACCCCTAGCGTGACCTCCATGCTCCAACAACTTGACTGGACCACACTTGAACAACGCAGAGAAAATTACAGGCTGGTGATGCTGCACAAGCTCAACAACAACCTGGTAGTACTTGACACAGCACCCTACATCATCCCTGTCACAAGACCCGCCAGGACTTCTCATGCACATAGCTACCAAGTCCCCCGTTCAAGAACATAAGCAGTCCTTGTGTCCGAGGACTGTGAGGAGTTGGAACAACCTGCCATCAGGAACAGTATGTGCCAAATCCATGAATGCCTTCCGTCAATGCCTGACGGGAGGCCGCAACTAAGTCCGGGAAATTTCTACTTGCACCATGTTAATTGCACCATGCACCTGGTTCTCGTAAGCACACACAAACCCATCAGTCTGCAAGAATATTTGACTGTGAAGGAGGTAGACTTAACCGAAAGAATAAGAAGAAGAAGAGAGTTACATTTATAATCATTATTTTCGTGTACAATTAAGCATTTTCTTGTTGATGTTTCGAAGTTTTCAATCACACTTTAATTTAACATCCATTTTAACTTTTTTACTCTAGACCTAAGAAAGAGTGAAGATAAAATAATTGTTGCCAATTTGAAAGAAAAACCTGTTTCATCTCAACCTTTAAAAAACTTTCGGCTGCTATGGCCGAAAATATTTTTTCTTTTTCTAGATATTGACGAATGTTCTGTGGATACAACGCTATGTGCAAATGGTATTTGTTCGAACACAGATGGCTATTTCACCTGTAGCCCGTGTGACTCTGGATATGAATTAAACGATGATGGCACTGCTTGCAATGGTAAGGATGTGAAGTCAAATTAGATCTAGTAGTCTACTCAGTACTAGTGTCACATTTTACTTTTTAGTGGCATCTTTAACAGCTTTTTAATCCCGAATACTCTGCATTACATGTTGTAGGTCTACATAATCTTAGTCCAAATATTAGTAGGAAATTTAAATCCACCTCTGTTAAAGTACACTCTGCCATTAATGAAAACTATTAAATCTGAAATGGACATTTTACTTTTAAAATTAGCAATGGAGAGTAAACTGTATGGACTAATCACTATTTTTGTTTACAAATTTGGCAATTTCTTGTTGATTTTTCGTAGCATTTGTTTACGATTTCATTTGACATTCATTTTTTTCTTTTTTTACTCTCTAGATCTAGATCTAGTCTAGATTCTAGAGTGCATGGATATACAAATAATTGGTGCCAATTTAAGATGAAAAATTGATTCAATTAGAACTTTAGAAAACTCTTGACTGCAAGATATGGGTAATTTTTTTTTTTTTTTTACTCTCCTAGATATTGACGAATGTGTGGTGGATACAACGCTCTGTGCAAATGGAATGTGTTCGAACATATATGGCTATTACACCTGTAGTGCGTGTGACTTTGGATATGAATTAAACGGTGATAGCACTGCTTGTTATGGTAAGGATGTGAAGTCAAATTAGATCTAGTAGTCTACTCAGTACTAGTGTCACATTATACTTTTTAGTGGCTTCTTTAACAGCCTTTTGATCCCGAATGCTCTGAATTACAAGTTGTAGGTCTAGGCCTACATAATCTTAGTCCAAAAGTCTGTAGGAAATTTAAATCCACCTCTGTTAAAGTACACTCTGCCATTAATGAAAACTATTAAATCTGAAATGGACATTTTACTTTTAAAATTAGCAATGGAGAGTAAACTGTATGGACTAATCACTATTTTTGTTTACAAATTTGGCAATTTCTTCTTGATTTTTCGTAGCATTTGTGTACGATTTCATTTGACATTCATTTTGTTCTTTTTTTACTCTCTAGATCTAGATCTTGTCGAGATTCTAGAGTGCATGGATATACAAGTAATTGGTGCCAATTTAAGATGAAAAATTGATTCAATTAGAACTTTAGAAAACTCTTGACTGCAAGATATGGGTAAATATTTTTACTTTTTCTAGATATTGACGAATGTTCTGTGGATACAACGCTATGTGCAAATGGAATTTGTTCGAACACAGATGGCTATTTCACCTGTAGCCCGTGTGACTCTGGATATGAATTAAGCGATGATGGCACTGCTTGCAATGGTAAGGATGTGAAGTCAAATTAGATCTAGTAGTCTACTCAGTACTAGTGTCACATTATACTTTTTAGTGGCTTCTTTAACAGCCTTTTGATCCCGAATGCTCTGAATTACAAGTTGTAGGTCTAGGCCTATATAATCTTAGTCCAAAAGTCTGTAGGAAATTTAAATCCACCTCTGTTAAAGTACACTCTGCCATCAATGAAAATTATTAAATTTTAAATTTGATTATTTAACTTTCTAAATTAGCAATGGAGAGTAAACTGTATGGACTAATCACTATTTTTGTTTACAAATTTGGCAATTTCTTGTTGATTTTTCGTAGCATTTGTTCACGATTTCATTTGACATTCATTTTTTCTTTTTTTACTCTCTAGATCTAGATCTAGTCGAGATTCTAGAGTGCATGGATATACAAATAATTAGTGCCAATTTAAGATGAAAAATTGATTCAATTAGAACTTTCGAAAACTCTTGACTGCATGCTATGGGTGAATTTTCTAAAAACTTTTCCTAGATATTGACGAATGCGTGGTGGATACAACGCTCTGTGCAAATGGAATGTGTTCAAACACAGTAGGCTATTACACCTGTAGCCCGTGTGACTTTGGATATGAATTAAACGATGATGGCACTGCTTGCAATGGTAAGGATGTGAAGTCAAATTAGATCTAGTAGTCTACTCAGTACTAGTGTCACATTTTACTTTTTAGTGGCATCTTTAACAGCTTTTTAATCCCGAATGCTCTGAATTACATGTTGTAGGTCTACATAATTTTAGTCCAAATATTAGTAGGAAATTTAAATCCACCTCTGTTAAAGTACACTCTGCCATTAATGAAAACTATTAAATCTGAAATGGACATTTTACTTTTAAAATTAGCAATGGAGAGTGAACTGTATGGACTAATCACTATTTTTGTTTACAAATTTGGCAATTTCTTGTTGATTTTTCGTAGCATTTGTGTACGATTTCATTTGACATTCATTTTGTTCTTTTTTTACTCTCTAGATCTAGATCTAGTCGAAATTCTAGAGTGCATGGATATACAAGTAATTGGTGCCAATTTAAGATGAAAAATTGATTCAATTAGAACTTTAGAAAACTCTTGACTGCAAGATATGGGTAAATATTTTTACTTTTTCTAGATATTGACGAATGTTCTGTGGATACAACGCTATGTGCAAATGGAATTTGTTCGAACACAGATGGCTATTTCACCTGTAGCCCGTGTGACTCTGGATATGAATTAAGCGATGATGGCACTGCTTGCAATGGTAAGGATGTGAAGTCAAATTAGATCTAGTAGTCTACTCAGTACTTGTGTCACATTATACTTTTTAGTGGCTTCTTTAACAGCCTTTTGATCCCGAATGCTCTGAATTACAAGTTGTAGGTCTAGGCCTATATAATCTTAGTCCAAAAGTCTGTAGGAAATTTAAATCCACCTCTGTTAAAGTACACTCTGCCATCAATGAAAATTATTAAATTTTAAATTTGATTATTTAACTTTCTAAATTAGCAATGGAGAGTAAACTGTATGGACTAATCACTATTTTTGTTTACAAATTTGGCAATTTCTTGTTGATTTTTCGTAGCATTTGTTCACGATTTCATTTGACATTCATTTTTTCTTTTTTTACTCTGTAGATCTAGATCTAGTCGAGATTCTAGAGTGCATGGATATACAAATAATTAGTGCCAATTTAAGATGAAAAATTGATTCAATTAGAACTTTCGAAAACTCTTGACTGCATGCTATGGGTGAATTTTCTAAAAACTTTTCCTAGATATTGACGAATGCGTGGTGGATACAACGCTCTGTGCAAATGGAATGTGTTCAAACACAGTAGGCTATTACACCTGTAGCCCGTGTGACTTTGGATATGAATTAAACGATGATGGCACTGCTTGCAATGGTAAGGATGTGAAGTCAAATTAGATCTAGTAGTCTACTCAGTATTAGTGTCACATTTTACTTTTTAGTGGCATCTTTAACAGCTTTTTAATCCCGAATGCTCTGAATTACATGTTGTAGGTCTACATAATTTTAGTCCAAATATTAGTAGGAAATTTAAATCCACCTCTGTTAAAGTACACTCTGCCATTAATGAAAACTATTAAATCTGAAATGGACATTTTACTTTTAAAATTAGCAATGGAGAGTAAACTGTATGGACTTATCACTATTTTTGTTTACAAATTTGGCAATTTCTTGTTGATTTTTCGTAGCATTTGTTCACGATTTCATTTGACATTCATTTTTTTCTTTTTTTACTCTCTAGATCTAGATCTAGTCGAGATTCTAGAGTGCATGGATATACAAATAATTGGTGCCAATTTAAGATGAAAAATTGATTCAATTAGAACTTTAGAAAACTCTTGACTGCAAGATATGGGTAAATTTTTTTTTACTTCTCCTAGATATTGACGAATGTGTGGTGGATACAACGCTCTGTGCAAATGGAATGTGTTCGAACATATATGGCTATTACACCTGTAGTGCGTGTGACTTTGGATATGAATTAAACGGTGATAGCACTGCTTGTTATGGTAAGGATGTGAAGTCAAATTAGATCTAGTAGTCTACTCAGTACAAGTGTCACATTTTACTTTTTAGTGGCATCTTTAACAGCTTTTTAATCCCGAATGCTCTGAATTACAAGTTGTAGGTCTACATGATCTTAGTCCAAATATTAGTAGGAAATTTAAATCCACCTCTGTTAAAGTACACTCTGCCACCAATGAAAATTATTAAATTTTAAATTTGATTATTTAACTTTCTAAATTAGCAATGGAGAGTAAACTGTATGGACTAATCACTATTTTTGTTTACAAATTTGGCAATTTCTTGTTGATTTTTCGTAGCATTTGTTCACGATTTCATTTGACATTCATTTTTTCTTTTTTTACTCTGTAGATCTAGATCTAGTCGAGATTCTAGAGTGCATGGATATACAAATAATTAGTGCCAATTTAAGATGAAAAATTGATTCAATTAGAACTTTCGAAAACTCTTGACTGCATGCTATGGGTGAATTTTCTAAAAACTTTTCCTAGATATTGACGAATGCGTGGTGGATACAACGCTCTGTGCAAATGGAATGTGTTCAAACACAGTAGGCTATTACACCTGTAGCCCGTGTGACTTTGGATATGAATTAAACGATGATGGCACTGCTTGCAATGGTAAGGATGTGAAGTCAAATTAGATCTAGTAGTCTACTCAGTACTAGTGTCACATTTTACTTTTTAGTGGCATCTTTAACAGCTTTTTAATCCCGAATGCTCTGAATTACATGTTGTAGGTCTACATAATTTTAGTCCAAATATTAGTAGGAAATTTAAATCCACCTCTGTTAAAGTACACTCTGCCATTAATGAAAACTATTAAATCTGAAATGGACATTTTACTTTTAAAATTAGCAATGGAGAGTAAACTGTATGGACTTATCACTATTTTTGTTTACAAATTTGGCAATTTCTTGTTGATTTTTCGTAGCATTTGTTCACGATTTCATTTGACATTCATTTTTTTCTTTTTTTACTCTCTAGATCTAGATCTAGTCGAGATTCTAGAGTGCATGGTTATACAAATAATTGGTGCCAATTTAAGATGAAAAATTGATTCAATTAGAACTTTAGAAAACTCTTGACTGCAAGATATGGGTAAATTTTTTTTTACTTCTCCTAGATATTGACGAATGTGTGGTGGATACAACGCTCTGTGCAAATGGAATGTGTTCGAACATATATGGCTATTACACCTGTAGTGCGTGTGACTTTGGATATGAATTAAACGGTGATAGCACTGCTTGTTATGGTAAGGATGTGAAGTCAAATTAGATCTAGTAGTCTACTCAGTACAAGTGTCACATTTTACTTTTTAGTGGCATCTTTAACAGCTTTTTAATCCCGAATGCTCTGAATTACAAGTTGTAGGTCTACATGATCTTAGTCCAAATATTAGTAGGAAATTTAAATCCACCTCTGTTAAAGTACACTCTGCCACCAATGAAAATCATTAAATTTTAAATTTGATTATTTAACTTTCTAAATTAGCAATGGAGAGTAAACTGTATGGACTAATCACTATTTTTGTTTACAAATTTGGCAATTTCTTGTTGATTTTTCGTAGCATTTGTTCACGATTTCATTTGACATTCATTTTTTCTTTTTTTACTCTGTAGATCTAGATCTAGTCGAGATTCTAGAGTGCATGGATATACAAATAATTAGTGCCAATTTAAGATGAAAAATTGATTCAATTAGAACTTTCGAAAACTCTTGACTGCATGCTATGGGTGAATTTTCTAAAAACTTTTCCTAGATATTGACGAATGCGTGGTGGATACAACGCTCTGTGCAAATGGAATGTGTTCAAACACAGTAGGCTATTACACCTGTAGCCCGTGTGACTTTGGATATGAATTAAACGATGATGGCACTGCTTGCAATGGTAAGGATGTGAAGTCAAATTAGATCTAGTAGTCTACTCAGTACTAGTGTCACATTTTACTTTTTAGTGGCATCTTTAACAGCTTTTTAATCCCGAATGCTCTGAATTACATGTTGTAGGTCTACATAATTTTAGTCCAAATATTAGTAGGAAATTTAAATCCACCTCTGTTAAAGTACACTCTGCCATTAATGAAAACTATTAAATCTGAAATGGACATTTTACTTTTAAAATTAGCAATGGAGAGTAAACTGTATGGACTTATCACTATTTTTGTTTACAAATTTGGCAATTTCTTGTTGATTTTTCGTAGCATTTGTTCACGATTTCATTTGACATTCATTTTTTTCTTTTTTTACTCTCTAGATCTAGATCTAGTCGAGATTCTAGAGTGCATGGTTATACAAATAATTGGTGCCAATTTAAGATGAAAAATTGATTCAATTAGAACTTTAGAAAACTCTTGACTGCAAGATATGGGTAAATTTTTTTTTACTTCTCCTAGATATTGACGAATGTGTGGTGGATACAACGCTCTGTGCAAATGGAATGTGTTCGAACATATATGGCTATTACACCTGTAGTGCGTGTGACTTTGGATATGAATTAAACGGTGATAGCACTGCTTGTTATGGTAAGGATGTGAAGTCAAATTAGATCTAGTAGTCTACTCAGTACAAGTGTCACATTTTACTTTTTAGTGGCATCTTTAACAGCTTTTTAATCCCGAATGCTCTGAATTACAAGTTGTAGGTGTACATGATCTTAGTCCAAATATTAGTAGGAAATTTAAATCCACCTCTGTTAAAGTACACTCTGCCATCAATGAAAATTATTAAATTTTAAATTTGATTATTTAACTTTCTAAATTAGCAATGGAGAGTAAACTGTATGAACTAATCACTATTTTTGTTTACAAATTTGGCAATTTCTTGTTGATTTTTCGTAGCATTTGTTTACGATTTCATTTGACATTCATTTTTTCTTTTTTTACTCTCTAGATGTAGATCTAGTCGAGATTCTAGAGTGCATGGATATACAAATAATTAGTGCCAATTTAAGATGAAAAATTGATTCAATTAGAACTTTCGAAAACTCTTGACTGCATGCTATGGGTGAATTTTCTAAAAACTTTTCCTAGATATTGACGAATGCGTGGTGGATACAACGCTCTGTGCAAATGGAATGTGTTCAAACACAGAAGGCTATTACACCTGTAGCCCGTGTGACTTTGGATATGAATTAAACGATGATGGCACTGCTTGCAATGGTAAGGATGTGAAGTCAAATTAGATCTAGTAGTCTACTCAGTACTAGTGTCACATTTTACTTTTTAGTGGCATCTTTAACAGCTTTTTAATCCCGAATGCTCTGAATTACAAGTTGTAGGTCTACATGATCTTAGTCCAAATATTAGTAGGAAATTTAAATCCACCTTTGTTAAAGTACACTCTGCCATCAATGAAAATTATTAAATTTTAAATTTGATTATTTAACTTTCTAAATTAGCAATGGAGAGTAAACTGTATGGACTAATCACTATTTTTGTTTACAAATTTGGCAATTTCTTGTTGATTTTTCGTAGCATTTGTTCACGATTTCATTTGACATTCATTTTTTTCTTTTTTTACTCTCTAGATCTAGATCTAGTCGAGATTCTAGAGTGCATGGATATACAAATAATTAGTGCCAATTTAAGATGAAAAATTGATTCAATTAGAACTTTAGAAAACTCTTGACTGCATGCTATGGGTGAATTTTCTAAAAACTTTTCCTAGATATTGACGAATGCGTGGTGGATACAACGCTCTGTGCAAATGGAATGTGTTCAAACACAGAAGGCTATTACACCTGTAGCCCGTGTGACTTTGGATATGAATTAAACGATGATGGCACTGCTTGCAATGGTAAGGATGTGAAGTCAAATTAGATCTAGTAGTCTACTCAGTACTAGTGTCACATTTTACTTTTTAGTGGCATCTTTAACAGCTTTTTAATCCCGAATGCTCTGAATTACAAGTTGTAGGTCTACATGATCTTAGTCCAAATATTAGTAGGAAATTTAAATCCACCTCTGTTAAAGTACACTCTGCCATTAATGAAAACTATTAAATCTGAAATGGACATTTTACTTTTAAAATTAGCAATGAAGAGTAAACTGTTTAGAATAATCACTTTTTTTGTTTACAAATTTGGCAATTTCTTGTTGATTTTTCGTAGCATTTGTTCACGATTTCATTTGACATTCATTTTTTTCTTTTTTTACTCTCTAGATCTAGATCTAGTCGAGATTCTAGAGTGCATGGAGATACAAATAATTGGTCCCAATTTAAGATGAAGAATTGATTCAATTAGAACTTTAGAAAACTCTTGACTGCAAGATATGGGTATTTTTTTTATTACTTTTCCTAGATATTGACGAATGTGTGGTGGATACAACGCTCTGTGCAAATGGAGTGTGTTCAAACACATACGGCTATTACACCTGTAGCGCGTGTTACTCTGGATATGAATTAAGCGATGATGGCACTGATTGCAATGGTAAGGATGTGAAGTCAAATTAGATCTAGTAGTCTACTCAGTACTAGTGTCACATTATACTTTTTAGTGGCTTCTTTAACAGCCTTTTGATCCCGAATGCTCTGAATTACAAGTTGTAGGTCTAAGCCTATATAATCTTAGTCCAAAAGTCTGTAGTAAATTTAAATCCACCTCTGTGAAAGTACACTCTGCCATCAATGAAAATTATTAAAGTTTAAATTTGATTATTTAACTTTCTAAATTAGCAATGGAGAGTAAACTGTATGGACTAATCACTATTTTTGTTTACAAATTTGGCAATTTCTTGTTGATTTTTCGTAGCATTTGTTCACGATTTCATTTGACATTCATTTTTTCTTTTTTTACTCTCTAGATGTAGATCTAGTCGAGATTCTAGAGTGCATGGATATACAAATAATTAGTGCCAATTTAAGATGAAAAATTGATTCAATTAGAACTTTCGAAAACTCTTGACTGCATGCTATGGGTGAATTTTCTAAAAACTTTTCCTAGATATTGACGAATGCGTGGTGGATACAACGCTCTGTGCAAATGGAATGTGTTCAAACACAGAAGGCTATTACACCTGTAGCCCGTGTGACTTTGGATATGAATTAAACGATGATGGCACTGCTTGCAATGGTAAGGATGTGAAGTCAAATTAGACCTAGTAGTCTACTCAGTACTAGTGTCACATTTTACTTTTTAGTGGCATCTTTAACAGCTTTTTAATCCCGAATGCTCTGAATTACAAGTTGTAGGTCTACATGATCTTAGTCCAAATATTAGTAGGAAATTTAAATCCACCTCTGTTAAAGTACACTCTGCCATTAATGAAAACTATTAAATCTGAAATGGACATTTTACTTTTAAAATTAGCAATGGAGAGTAAACTGTTTAGAATAATCACTTTTTTTTTTTACAAATTTGGCAATTTCTTGTTGATTTTTCGTAGCATTTGTTCACGATTTCATTGGACATTCATTTTTTCTTTTTTTACTCTCTAGATCTAGATCTAGTCGAGATTCTAGAGTGCATGGATATACAAATAATTAGTGCCAATTTAAGATGAAAAATTGATTCAATTAGAACTTTAGAAAACTCTTGACTGCAAGATATGGGTATTTTTTTTTTAACTTTTCCTAGATATTGACGAATGTGTGGTGGATACAACGCTCTGTGCAAATGGAGTGTGTTCAAACACATATGGCTATTACACCTGTAGCGCGTGTTACTCTGGATTTGAATTTAACGACGATGGCACTGCTTGCAATGGTAAGGATGTGAAGTCAAATTAGATCTAGTAGTCTACTCAGTACTAGTTTCACATTTTACTTTTTAGTGGTATCTTTAACAGTCTTTTGATCCAGAATGCTCTGAATTACGAGTTGTAGGTCTACATGATCTTAGTCCAAAAGTCAGTAGGAAATTTAAATCCACCTTTGTTAAAGTACACATCAATGAAAACTATTAAGTCTGAAATGGACATTTAACTTTTTAAATTAGCAATGGAGAGTAAACTGTATAGACTAATCACTATTTTTGTTTACAAATTTGGCAATTTCTTGTTGATTTTTCGTAACATTTGTTCAAGATTCCATTGGACATTCATTTTTACTTTTTTACTCTGTAGATCTAGATCTAGTCTAGATTCAGAGTGCATGGAGATACAAAAATTTGGTGCCAATTTAAGATGAAAAGTTGATTCAATTAGAACTTTAGAAAAATCAAGACTGTATGCTATGGGTGATTTTTTTAAAAACTTTTCCTAGATATTGACGAATGCGTGGTGGATACAACGCTCTGTGCAAATGGAATGTGTTCGAACAGAGATGGCTATTACATCTGTAGCGCGTGTAACTTTGGATATGAATTAAACGATGATAGCACTATTTGCAATGGTAAGGATGTGAAGTCAAATTAGATCTAGTAGTCTTCTCAGTAAAAGTGTCACATTTTACTTTTTAGAGGCATCTTTCACAGTCTTTTGATCCAGAATGCTCTGAATTACGAGTTGTAGGTCTACATGATCTTAGTTCAAAAGTCAGTAGGAAATTTAAATTCACCTCTGTTAAAGTACACATTAATAAGTACACATTTAGACTAATCACTTTTTTTGTTTACAAATTTGGCAATTTCTTGTTAATATTTCGTAGCATTTGTTCACATTTTCATTTGACATTCATTTTTTCTTTTTTTACTCTGTAGATCTAGATCTAGTCGAGATTCTAGAGTGCATGGAGATACAAATAATTGGTCCCAATTTAAGATGAAAAATTGATTCAATTAGAACTTTCGAAAACTCTTGACTGCTTGCTATGGGAAATTTTTTAAAACCTTTTTCTAGATATTGACGAATGCCTGGTGGATACAACGCTCTGTGCAAATGGAATGTGTTCAAACACAGTAGGCTATTACACCTGTAGCCCGTGTGACTTTGGATATGAATTAAACGATGATGGCACTGCTTGCAATGGTAAGGATGTGAAGTCAAATTAGATCTAGTAGTCTAGTCAGTACTAGTGTCACATTTTACTTTTTAGTGGCATCTTTAACAGCTTTTTAATCCCGAATGGTCTGAATTACAAGTTGTAGGTCTACATGATCATAGTTCAAATATTAGAAATAAATTTAAATCCACCTCTGTTACAGTACACTCTGCCAACAATGAAAACTATTAAATCTGAAATGGACATTTAACTTTTTAAATTAGCAATGGAGAGTAAACTGTATGGACTAATCACTATTTTTGTTTACAAATTCGGTAATTTCTTGTTGATTTTTCGTAGCATTTGTTCACGATTTCATTTGACATTCATTTTTAATTTTTTACTCTCTAGATCTTGTTCTAGTCTAGATTCTAGAGTGCATGGAGATACAAATAATTGGTGCCAATTTAAGATAAAAAGTTGATTCAATTAGAACTTTCGAAAACTCTTGACTGCATGCTATGGGTGAATTTTTTTTTACTTTTCCTAGATATTGACGAATGTGTGGTGGATACAACGCTCTGTGCAAATGGAATTTGTTCAAACACAGTAGGCTATTACACCTGTAGCCCGTGTGACTTTGGATATGAATTAAACGGTGATAGCACTGCTTGTTATGGTAAGGATGTGAAGTCAAATTAGATCTAGTAGTCTACTCAGTACTAGTGTCACATTATACACTGTTGGTCATAATGGTGGAATAATTATTTTTACCCCAGTTTAGGGAAGGATTTAAAAAAATTATTTATTTCTAATAGATCTAGATAATGGCATACATTCTCAGATTTTATTGAATATTGATTTGCGAGAGTTTCTTTTGCGTGACTGCTGAATCATATGTGTGCTACTATGCTAATCAGCTAGGGAACCTACGTCCTTAAATCATAATTGACAGTAATGAGGATTAATGCCTCACAAAAGGGCACTTATATAGCTGATCGACACGATTTTTATCCTGGGGCCTCACAGTAACGAGGCCATTGCTTAGCCCCTGAATCATGACTATACGCAGTGTTTGCTAGGGTACGCGGCCGCCCCCACAAATCCCCCAAAACGAAGAAAATGCAATGAATTGTCAAAAATTCATTGCAATATCCCCCCCGCCCCCAACAGGAAAAATTTCTCTGTGTGGCCATGCCTTGAACCATAATGCATGGCCCTACAGAGGAATTTTTCCTGTTGGGGGCCGGGGGAAAATGCAATGAATTTTTGACAATTTATTGCATTTTCTTCGTTTTGGGGGAATTGTGGAAGGGGCCGCGTACCCTAGCAAACACTGCGTACAGTCATGATTCAGGGGCTAAGCAATGGCCTCGTTACTGTGAGGCCCCAGGATAAAAATCGTGTAGATCAGCTATATATCAATGCCCTTTTGTGAGGCATTAATCCTCATTACTGTCAATCATGACTTAAGGACGTAGGTCCCTTAGCTGATTAGCATAGTAACACACATATGATGAAGCAGTCACGCAAAACAAATACTCGCAAATTAGTATTCAATAAAATCTGAGAATGTATGCCATTATCTAGATCTATTAGAAATAAATAATTTTTTAAAATCCTTCCCTAAACTGGGGTAAAAATAATTATTCCACCAATGAAAATTATTAAATCTTAAATTTGATTATTTAACTTTCTAAATTAGCAATGGAGAGTAAACTGTATAGATCTAGACTAATCACTATTTTTGTTTACAAATTTGGCAATTTCTTGTTGATTTTTCGTAGCATTTGTTCACGATTTCATTGGACATTCATTTTTTCTTTTTTTACTCTCTAGTTCTAGATCTAGTCGAGATTCTAGAGTGCATGGATATACAAATAATTGGTGCCAATTTAAGATGAAAAATTGATTCAATTAGAACTTTAGAAAACTCTTGACTGCAAGATATGGGTAACATTTTTTTTACTTTTCCTAGATATTGACGAATGTGTGGTGGATACAACGCTCTGTGCAAATGGAGTGTGTTCGAACACAGATGGCTATTACACCTGTAGCGCGTGTAACTCTGGATTTGAATTTAACGATGATGGCACTGCTTGCAATGGTAAGGATGTGAAGTCAAATTAGATCTAGTAGTCTACTCAGTACTAGTTTCACATTTTACTTTTTAGTGGTATCTTTAACAGTCTTTTGATCCAGAATGCTCTGAATTACAAGTTGTAGGTCTACATGATCTTAGTCCAAAAGTCAGTAGGAAATTTAAATCCACCTCTGTTAAAGTACACTCTGCCATCAATGAAAATTATTAAATCTGAAATGGACATTTAACTTTCTAAATTAGCAATGGAGAGTAAACTGTATAGACTAATCACTATTTTTGTTTACAAATTTGGCAATTTCTTGTTGATTTTTCGTAGCATTTGTTCACGATTCCATTTGACATTCATTTTTTTCTTTTTTTACTCTCTAGATCTAGATCTAGTCTAGATTCAGAGTGCAAGGAGATACAAATAATTGGTGCCAATTTAAGATGAAAAGTTGATTCAATTAGAACTTTAGAAAAATCAAGACTGCATGCTATGGGTGATTTTTTTTTAAACTTTTCCTAGATATTGACGAATGCGTGGTGGATACAACGCTCTGTGCAAATGGAATGTGTTCGAACAGAGATGGCTATTACATCTGTAGCGCGTGTAACTTTGGATATGAATTAAACGATGATGGCACTATTTGCAATGGTAAGGATGTGAAGTCAAATTAGATCTAGTAGTCTACTCAGTAATAGTGTCACATTTTACTTTTTAGAGGCATCTGTAAAGTTGATACTCTAAGCAAAGAAATGTCCCTTAATTTGTTACCTACGGCAACTATATGTTATTTTTAAGTTTTTCAATTACTTAGTATATCACAAAAAAATTCTGTCTACCCGAAATCCTCAATTGAATTGTCGAAAATATCCGCCTCTCTTTGCATAGAAAATCAGTCACGGCGCTGGTCTACTATTTATGACTTCACGTCTGGGAAAGAGTATATTCACGTACCCGGATGTTCCATAGCAAACATGTGCAGAGTGATACGATTTTCTGCATATTTTTGTTTCAAAGGCTGAAAAGCCTAATAAATCATAATTCTATGTACAATTCTTTACCTTCCCCTAGTACTTCATAGTATTAATATCAATTCCCCTTTAAAAAAAATATGACATATACATGCCAACGATGCGCTATTAGTCGATATTTTCACAATGTAATTTTTGTTTTGATGTAATTGAAATCGGTCCAGGCACGGAGTGAACAGTAGCTGTCTACCCATGCACAGTTCATTACCATACACTACAGTGATCTCCCGATGGTTTCTTCTTCCTTTTTCCCATGTCTTTCACCTTCCTTGGCCTTGAAGATCCTTCATCTACCAATTCTGACACCGGTAGTCAGGAGCAAGTCTTTGTTAGTTGTTTTTCTTAGCTGGCAACGTCGCTATTCTCTTGCAATTGCCGATAAACATATAACTAGCGCACGTACGTTCCATCACAAGCAAGCAGCGCCTAGAGCAGCGGCTTGGTCTTACCTCCCGATTCTGCTCGCTTCACGAACGTTCATGCAAGAGCCGCATCACTCGCCAAATATTATAGAGGAAGCGCGCTTGCATGATCTCGTTCAAGTTTGATATTTTACAACATAAAATGTTTAACTGGTACTGTATCCTTTTTTGAGGCAGTCACACACATCTATGATAAGTACTATCATAGTTCTAGACCTATTCGTTTTACAAAACTGCTCCTGTACCTTATCTGATGACAATATAATGCATCCGCCTATTCATACGTGCACGATTTAACTTTAATTCCTAAGTAGTAAACTCGTCTTAAATCTCTACCAAATAGATGAATATAAGAATAGAAAAAGAAATCAGCGACTGGAAAATGTTGCTTCGTTATTCTTCATTCAAATGAAAACAGAAAATCCATCAAATATACTCCTTAACAACAACAAATCTAAGCTCTGACAGGATAGCATTTACGTAGGGATATCACTGCCATTCACTCTCACTGAGCCCATGAGTCCCGTTCGTGACGTCACGGATAGAGGCCCGACTCTACGTGCACTTCCGGGTTTCAGACTTAGATATTTTGGTAGAGTTTACTCGAATAAATTCATTATTCTAAACTTGTTTTGTTGGGTGGACACCTTTTGGTGTTATTATGGGGGTTAAAAGCTTTCTATTTATGTAATTATCTCAGTATTTGGGATTGTCTTAGAGTATCAACTTTAACAGTCTTTTGATCCAGAATGCTCTGAATTACAAGTTGTAGGTCTACATGATCTTAGTCCAAAAGTCAGTAGGAAATTTAAATTCACCTCTGTTAAAGTACACATTAATGAAAACTATTAAATCTGAAATGGACATTTAACTTTCTAAATTAGCAATGGAGAGTAAACTGTATAGACTAATCACTTTTTTTTGTTTACAAATTTGGCAATTTCTTGTTGATTTTTCGTAGCATTTGTTCACGATTTCATTGGAAATTCATTTTTACTTTTTTACTCTCTAGATCTAGATCTAGTCTAGATTCAGAGTGCATGGAGATACAAATAATTGGTGCAAATTTAAGATGAAAAGTTGATTCAATTCGAACTTTAGAAAAATCTTGACTGCATGCTATGGGTGATTTTTTAAAAACTTTTCCTAGATATTGATGAATGCGTGGTGGATACAACGCTCTGTGCAAATGGAATGTGTTCGAACACAGTTGGCTATTACACCTGTAGCGCGTGTAACTCTGGATATGAATTAAACGATGATGGCACTGCTTGCAATGGTAAGGATATAAAGTCAAATTAGATCTAGTAATCTACTCAGTAATAGTGTCACATCTTACTTTTTAGAGGCATCTTTAACAGGCTTTTGATCCAGAATGCTCTGAATTACAAGTTGTAGGTCTACATGATCTTAGTCCAAAAATAAGTAGGAATTTTAAATCTACTTTTGTTAAAGAACACTCTGCCATTAATGAAAACTTTTAAATCTGAAATGGACATTTAACTTCTTAAATTAGCAATGGAGAGTAAAATGTATAGACTAATCACTATTTTTGTTTACAAATTTGGCAATTTCTTGTTGATTTTTCGTAGCATTTGTTCACGATTTCATTTGACATTCATTTTTTTCTTTTTTTACTCTCTAGATCTAGATCTAGTCGAGATTCTAGAGTGCATGGATATACAAATAATTAGTGCCAATTTAAGATGAAAAATTGATTCAATTAGAACTTTAGAAAACTCTTGACTGCAAGATATGGGTAATTTTTTTTTAACTTTTCCTAGATATTGACGAATGTGTGGTGGATACAACGCTCTGTGCAAATGGAGTGTGTTCAAACACATATGGCTATTACACCTGTAGCGCGTGTTACTCTGGATTTGAATTTAACGACGATGGCACTGCTTGCAATGGTAAGGATGTGAAGTCAAATTAGATCTAGTAGTCTACTCAGTACTAGTTTCACATTTTACTTTTTAGTGGTATCTTTAACAGTCTTTTGATCCAGAATGCTCTGAATTACGAGTTGTAGGTCTACATGATCTTAGTCCAAAAGTCAGTAGGAAATTTAAATCCACCTTTGTTAAAGTACACATCAATGAAAACTATTAAGTCTGAAATGGACATTTAACTTTTTAAATTAGCAATGGAGAGTAAACTGTATAGACTAATCACTATTTTTGTTTACAAATTTGGCAATTTCTTGTTGATTTTTCGTAACATTTGTTCAAGATTCCATTGGACATTCATTTTTACTTTTTTACTCTGTAGATCTAGATCTAGTCTAGATTCAGAGTGCATGGAAATACAAAAATTTGGTGCCAATTTAAGATGAAAAGTTGATTCAATTAGAACTTTAGAAAAATCAAGACTGTATGCTATGGGTGATTTTTTTTAAAACTTTTCCTAGATATTGACGAATGCGTGGTGGATACAACGCTCTGTGCAAATGGAATGTGTTCGAACAGAGATGGCTATTACATCTGTAGCGCGTGTAACTTTGGATATGAATTAAACGATGATAGCACTATTTGCAATGGTAAGGATGTGAAGTCAAATTAGATCTAGTAGTCTTCTCAGTAAAAGTGTCACATTTTACTTTTTAGAGGCATCTTTCACAGTCTTTTGATCCAGAATGCTCTGAATTACGAGTTGTAGGTCTACATGATCTTAGTTCAAAAGTCAGTAGGAAATTTAAATTCACCTCTGTTAAAGTACACATTAATAAGTACACATTTAGACTAATCACTTTTTTTGTTTACAAATTTGGCAATTTCTTGTTAATATTTCGTAGCATTTGTTCACATTTTCATTTGACATTCATTTTTTCTTTTTTTACTCTGTAGATCTAGATCTAGTCGAGATTCTAGAGTGCATGGAGATACAAATAATTGGTCCCAATTTAAGATGAAAAATTGATTCAATTAGAACTTTCGAAAACTCTTGACTGCTTGCTATGGGAAATTTTTTAAAACCTTTTTCTAGATATTGACGAATGCCTGGTGGATACAACGCTCTGTGCAAATGGAATGTGTTCAAACACAGTAGGCTATTACACCTGTAGCCCGTGTGACTTTGGATATGAATTAAACGATGATGGCACTGCTTGCAATGGTAAGGATGTGAAGTCAAATTAGATCTAGTAGTCTAGTCAGTACTAGTGTCACATTTTACTTTTTAGTGGCATCTTTAACAGCTTTTTAATCCCGAATGGTCTGAATTACAAGTTGTAGGTCTACATGATCATAGTTCAAATATTAGAAATAAATTTAAATCCACCTCTGTTACAGTACACTCTGCCAACAATGAAAACTATTAAATCTGAAATGGACATTTAACTTTTTAAATTAGCAATGGAGAGTAAACTGTATGGACTAATCACTATTTTTGTTTACAAATTCGGCAATTTCTTGTTGATTTTTCGTAGCATTTGTTCACGATTTCATTTGACATTCATTTTTAATTTTTTACTCTCTAGATCTTGTTCTAGTCTAGATTCTAGAGTGCATGGAGATACAAATAATTGGTGCCAATTTAAGATAAAAAGTTGATTCAATTAGAACTTTCGAAAACTCTTGACTGCATGCTATGGGTGAATTTTTTTTTACTTTTCCTAGATATTGACGAATGTGTGGTGGATACAACGCTCTGTGCAAATGGAATTTGTTCAAACACAGTAGGCTATTACACCTGTAGCCCGTGTGACTTTGGATATGAATTAAACGGTGATAGCACTGCTTGTTATGGTAAGGATGTGAAGTCAAATTAGATCTAGTAGTCTACTCAGTACTAGTGTCACATTATACACTGTTGGTCATAATGGTGGAATAATTATTTTTACCCCAGTTTAGGGAAGGATTTAAAAAAATTATTTATTTCTAATAGATCTAGATAATGGCATACATTCTCAGATTTTATTGAATATTGATTTGCGAGAGTTTCTTTTGCGTGACTGCTGAATCATATGTGTGCTACTATGCTAATCAGCTAGGGAACCTACGTCCTTAAATCATAATTGACAGTAATGAGGATTAATGCCTCACAAAAGGGCACTTATATAGCTGATCGACACGATTTTTATCCTGGGGCCTCACAGTAACGAGGCCATTGCTTAGCCCCTGAATCATGACTATACGCAGTGTTTGCTAGGGTACGCGGCCGCCCCCACAAATCCCCCAAAACGAAGAAAATGCAATGAATTGTCAAAAATTCATTGCAATATCCCCCCGCCCCCAACAGGAAAAATTTCTCTGTGTGGCCATGCCTTGAACCATAATGCATGGCCCTACAGAGGAATTTTTCCTGTTGGGGGCCGGGGGAAAATGCAATGAATTTTTGACAATTTATTGCATTTTCTTCGTTTTGGGGGAATTGTGGAAGGGGCCGCGTACCCTAGCAAACACTGCGTACAGTCATGATTCAGGGGCTAAGCAATGGCCTCGTTACTGTGAGGCCCCAGGATAAAAATCGTGTAGATCAGCTATATATCAATGCCCTTTTGTGAGGCATTAATCCTCATTACTGTCAATCATGACTTAAGGACGTAGGTCCCTTAGCTGATTAGCATAGTAACACACATATGATGAAGCAGTCACGCAAAACAAATACTCGCAAATTAGTATTCAATAAAATCTGAGAATGTATGCCATTATCTAGATCTATTAGAAATAAATAATTTTTTAAAATCCTTCCCTAAACTGGGGTAAAAATAATTATTCCACCAATGAAAATTATTAAATCTTAAATTTGATTATTTAACTTTCTAAATTAGCAATGGAGAGTAAACTGTATAGATCTAGACTAATCACTATTTTTGTTTACAAATTTGGCAATTTCTTGTTGATTTTTCGTAGCATTTGTTCACGATTTCATTGGACATTCATTTTTTCTTTTTTTACTCTCTAGTTCTAGATCTAGTCGAGATTCTAGAGTGCATGGATATACAAATAATTGGTGCCAATTTAAGATGAAAAATTGATTCAATTAGAACTTTAGAAAACTCTTGACTGCAAGATATGGGTAACATTTTTTTTACTTTTCCTAGATATTGACGAATGTGTGGTGGATACAACGCTCTGTGCAAATGGAGTGTGTTCGAACACAGATGGCTATTACACCTGTAGCGCGTGTAACTCTGGATTTGAATTTAACGATGATGGCACTGCTTGCAATGGTAAGGATGTGAAGTCAAATTAGATCTAGTAGTCTACTCAGTACTAGTTTCACATTTTACTTTTTAGTGGTATCTTTAACAGTCTTTTGATCCAGAATGCTCTGAATTACAAGTTGTAGGTCTACATGATCTTAGTCCAAAAGTCAGTAGGAAATTTAAATCCACCTCTGTTAAAGTACACTCTGCCATCAATGAAAATTATTAAATCTGAAATGGACATTTAACTTTCTAAATTAGCAATGGAGAGTAAACTGTATAGACTAATCACTATTTTTGTTTACAAATTTGGCAATTTCTTGTTGATTTTTCGTAGCATTTGTTCACGATTCCATTTGACATTCATTTTTTTCTTTTTTTACTCTCTAGATCTAGATCTAGTCTAGATTCAGAGTGCAAGGAGATACAAATAATTGGTGCCAATTTAAGATGAAAAGTTGATTCAATTAGAACTTTAGAAAAATCAAGACTGCATGCTATGGGTGATTTTTTTTTAAACTTTTCCTAGATATTGACGAATGCGTGGTGGATACAACGCTCTGTGCAAATGGAATGTGTTCGAACAGAGATGGCTATTACATCTGTAGCGCGTGTAACTTTGGATATGAATTAAACGATGATGGCACTATTTGCAATGGTAAGGATGTGAAGTCAAATTAGATCTAGTAGTCTACTCAGTAATAGTGTCACATTTTACTTTTTAGAGGCATCTGTAAAGTTGATACTCTAAGCAAAGAAATGTCCCTTAATTTGTTACCTACGGCAACTATATGTTATTTTTAAGTTTTTCAATTACTTAGTATATCACAAAAAAATTCTGTCTACCCGAAATCCTCAATTGAATTGTCGAAAATATCCGCCTCTCTTTGCATAGAAAATCAGTCACGGCGCTGGTCTACTATTTATGACTTCACGTCTGGGAAAGAGTATATTCACGTACCCGGATGTTCCATAGCAAACATGTGCAGAGTGATACGATTTTCTGCATATTTTTGTTTCAAAGGCTGAAAAGCCTAATAAATCATAATTCTATGTACAATTCTTTACCTTCCCCTAGTACTTCATAGTATTAATATCAATTCCCCTTTAAAAAAAATATGACATATACATGCCAACGATGCGCTATTAGTCGATATTTTCACAATGTAATTTTTGTTTTGATGTAATTGAAATCGGTCCAGGCACGGAGTGAACAGTAGCTGTCTACCCATGCACAGTTCATTACCATACACTACAGTGATCTCCCGATGGTTTCTTCTTCCTTTTTCCCATGTCTTTCACCTTCCTTGGCCTTGAAGATCCTTCATCTACCAATTCTGACACCGGTAGTCAGGAGCAAGTCTTTGTTAGTTGTTTTTCTTAGCTGGCAACGTCGCTATTCTCTTGCAATTGCCGATAAACATATAACTAGCGCACGTACGTTCCATCACAAGCAAGCAGCGCCTAGAGCAGCGGCTTGGTCTTACCTCCCGATTCTGCTCGCTTCACGAACGTTCATGCAAGAGCCGCATCACTCGCCAAATATTATAGAGGAAGCGCGCTTGCATGATCTCGTTCAAGTTTGATATTTTACAACATAAAATGTTTAACTGGTACTGTATCCTTTTTTGAGGCAGTCACACACATCTATGATAAGTACTATCATAGTTCTAGACCTATTCGTTTTACAAAACTGCTCCTGTACCTTATCTGATGACAATATAATGCATCCGCCTATTCATACGTGCACGATTTAACTTTAATTCCTAAGTAGTAAACTCGTCTTAAATCTCTACCAAATAGATGAATATAAGAATAGAAAAAGAAATCAGCGACTGGAAAATGTTGCTTCGTTATTCTTCATTCAAATGAAAACAGAAAATCCATCAAATATACTCCTTAACAACAACAAATCTAAGCTCTGACAGGATAGCATTTACGTAGGGATATCACTGCCATTCACTCTCACTGAGCCCATGAGTCCCGTTCGTGACGTCACGGATAGAGGCCCGACTCTACGTGCACTTCCGGGTTTCAGACTTAGATATTTTGGTAGAGTTTACTCGAATAAATTCATTATTCTAAACTTGTTTTGTTGGGTGGACACCTTTTGGTGTTATTATGGGGGTTAAAAGCTTTCTATTTATGTAATTATCTCAGTATTTGGGATTGTCTTAGAGTATCAACTTTAACAGTCTTTTGATCCAGAATGCTCTGAATTACAAGTTGTAGGTCTACATGATCTTAGTCCAAAAGTCAGTAGGAAATTTAAATTCACCTCTGTTAAAGTACACATTAATGAAAACTATTAAATCTGAAATGGACATTTAACTTTCTAAATTAGCAATGGAGAGTAAACTGTATAGACTAATCACTTTTTTTTGTTTACAAATTTGGCAATTTCTTGTTGATTTTTCGTAGCATTTGTTCACGATTTCATTGGAAATTCATTTTTACTTTTTTACTCTCTAGATCTAGATCTAGTCTAGATTCAGAGTGCATGGAGATACAAATAATTGGTGCAAATTTAAGATGAAAAGTTGATTCAATTCGAACTTTAGAAAAATCTTGACTGCATGCTATGGGTGATTTTTTAAAAACTTTTCCTAGATATTGATGAATGCGTGGTGGATACAACGCTCTGTGCAAATGGAATGTGTTCGAACACAGTTGGCTATTACACCTGTAGCGCGTGTAACTCTGGATATGAATTAAACGATGATGGCACTGCTTGCAATGGTAAGGATATAAAGTCAAATTAGATCTAGTAATCTACTCAGTAATAGTGTCACATCTTACTTTTTAGAGGCATCTTTAACAGGCTTTTGATCCAGAATGCTCTGAATTACAAGTTGTAGGTCTACATGATCTTAGTCCAAAAGTCAGTAGGAAATTTAAATCCACCTCTGTTAAAGTACACTCTGCCATCAATGAAAATTATTAAATCTGAAATGGACATTTAACTTTCTAAATTAGCAATGGAGAGTAAACTGTATAGACTAATCACTATTTTTGTTTACAAATTTGGCAATTTCTTGTTGATTTTTCGTAGCATTTGTTCGCGATTCCATTTGACATTCATTTTTTTTCTTTTTTTACTCTCTAGATCTAGATCTAGTCTAGATTCAGAGTGCAAGGAGATACAAATAATTGGTGCCAATTTAAGATGAAAAGTTGATTCAATTAGAACTTTAGAAAAATCAAGACTGCATGCTATGGGTGATTTTTTTTTAAACTTTTCCTAGATATTGACGAATGCGTAGTGGATACAACGCTCTGTGCAAATGGAATGTGTTCGAACAGAGATGGCTATTACATCTGTAGCGCGTGTAACTTTGGATATGAATTAAACGATGATGGCACTATTTGCAATGGTAAGGATGTGAAGTCAAATTAGATCTAGTAGTCTACTCAGTAATAGTGTCACATTTTACTTTTTAGAGGCATCTTTAAAGTTGATACTCTAAGCAAAGAAATGTCCCTTAATTTGTTACCTACGGCAACTATATGTTATTTTTAAGTTTTTCAATTACTTAGTATATCACAAAAAAATTCTGTCTACCCGAAATCCTCAATTGAATTGTCGAAAATATCCGCCTCTCTTTGCATAGAAAATCAGTCACGGCGCTGGTCTACTATTTATGACTTCACGTCTGGGAAAGAGTATATTCACGTACCCGGATGTTCCATAGCAAACATGTGCAGAGTGATACGATTTTCTGCATATTTTTGTTTCAAAGGCTGAAAAGCCTAATAAATCATAATTCTATGTACAATTCTTTACCTTCCCCTAGTACTTCATAGTATTAATATCAATTCCCCTTTAAAAAAAATATGACATATACATGCCAACGATGCGCTATTAGTCGATATTTTCACAATGTAATTTTTGTTTTGATGTAATTGAAATCGGTCCAGGCACGGAGTGAACAGTAGCTGTCTACCCATGCACAGTTCATTACCATACACTACAGTGATCTCCCGATGGTTTCTTCTTCCTTTTTCCCATGTCTTTCACCTTCCTTGGCCTTGAAGATCCTTCATCTACCAATTCTGACACCGGTAGTCAGGAGCAAGTCTTTGTTAGTTGTTTTTCTTAGCTGGCAACGTCGCTATTCTCTTGCAATTGCCGATAAACATATAACTAGCGCACGTACGTTCCATCACAAGCAAGCAGCGCCTAGAGCAGCGGCTTGGTCTTACCTCCCGATTCTGCTCGCTTCACGAACGTTCATGCAAGAGCCGCATCACTCGCCAAATATTATAGAGGAAGCGCGCTTGCATGATCTCGTTCAAGTTTGATATTTTACAACATAAAATGTTTAACTGGTACTGTATCCTTTTTTGAGGCAGTCACACACATCTATGATAAGTACTATCATAGTTCTAGACCTATTCGTTTTACAAAACTGCTCCTGTACCTTATCTGATGACAATATAATGCATCCGCCTATTCATACGTGCACGATTTAACTTTAATTCCTAAGTAGTAAACTCGTCTTAAATCTCTACCAAATAGATGAATATAAGAATAGAAAAAGAAATCAGCGACTGGAAAATGTTGCTTCGTTATTCTTCATTCAAATGAAAACAGAAAATCCATCAAATATACTCCTTAACAACAACAAATCTAAGCTCTGACAGGATAGCATTTACGTAGGGATATCACTGCCATTCACTCTCACTGAGCCCATGAGTCCCGTTCGTGACGTCACGGATAGAGGCCCGACTCTACGTGCACTTCCGGGTTTCAGACTTAGATATTTTGGTAGAGTTTACTCGAATAAATTCATTATTCTAAACTTGTTTTGTTGGGTGGACACCTTTTGGTGTTATTATGGGGGTTAAAAGCTTTCTATTTATGTAATTATCTCAGTATTTGGGATTGTCTTAGAGTATCAACTTTAACAGTCTTTTGATCCAGAATGCTCTGAATTACAAGTTGTAGGTCTACATGATCTTAGTCCAAAAGTCAGTAGGAAATTTAAATTCACCTCTGTTAAAGTACACATTAATGAAAACTATTAAATCTGAAATGGACATTTAACTTTCTAAATTAGCAATGGAGAGTAAACTGTATAGACTAATCACTTTTTTTTGTTTACAAATTTGGCAATTTCTTGTTGATTTTTCGTAGCATTTGTTCACGATTTCATTGGAAATTCATTTTTACTTTTTTACTCTCTAGATCTAGATCTAGTCTAGATTCAGAGTGCATGGAGATACAAATAATTGGTGCAAATTTAAGATGAAAAGTTGATTCAATTCGAACTTTAGAAAAATCTTGACTGCATGCTATGGGTGATTTTTTAAAAACTTTTCCTAGATATTGATGAATGCGTGGTGGATACAACGCTCTGTGCAAATGGAATGTGTTCGAACACAGTTGGCTATTACACCTGTAGCGCGTGTAACTCTGGATATGAATTAAACGATGATGGCACTGCTTGCAATGGTAAGGATATAAAGTCAAATTAGATCTAGTAATCTACTCAGTAATAGTGTCACATCTTACTTTTTAGAGGCATCTTTAACAGGCTTTTGATCCAGAATGCTCTGAATTACAAGTTGTAGGTCTACATGATCTTAGTCCAAAAATAAGTAGGAATTTTAAATCTACTTTTGTTAAAGAACACTCTGCCATTAATGAAAACTTTTAAATCTGAAATGGACATTTAACTTCTTAAATTAGCAATGGAGAGTAAAATGTATAGACTAATCACTATTTTTGTTTACAAATTTGGCAATTTCTTGTTGATTTTTCGTAGCATTTGTTCACTATTTAATTTGACATTAATTTTTACTTTTTTACTCTCTAGATCTAGACCTAGTCTAGATTCTAAAGTGCATGGAGATACAAATAATTGGTGCCAATTTAAGATAAAAAGCTGATTGAATTAGAACTTTACAAAACTCTTGAATGCAAGCTATGGGTGAAAAAAATGTTTACTTTTCCTAGATATTGACGAATGCGTGGTGGATACAACGCTCTGTGCAAATGGAGTGTGTTCGAACATAGATGGCTCTTACACCTGTAGCCCGTGTAACTCTGGATATGAATTAAATGATTATGGCACTGCTTGCAATGGTAAGGATGTAAAGTCAAATTAGATCTAGTAGTCTATTCAGTACTAGTGTCACATTTTAATTTTTAGATGCATTTTTTTAACAGTCTATTGATCCAGAATACTCTGAATTACAAGTTGTAGTTCTACTAGATCTTAGTCCAAAAGTCAATAGGAAATTTAAATCCACTTCTGTTAAAGTACACTCTGCAATTAATGAAAACTATTAAATCTAGTATGGACATTTAACTTTCTAAATGAGCAATGGAGAGTAAACTGTATAGACTAATCACTTTTTTTTGTTTACAAATTTGGCAATTTCTTGTTGATTTTTCGTAGCATTTGTTCACGATTTCATTGGAAATTCATTTTTACTTTTTTACTCTCTAGATCTAGATCTAGTCTAGATTCAGAGTGCATGGAGATACAAATAATTGGTGCAAATGTAAGATGAAAAGTTGATTCAATTCGAACTTTAGAAAAATCTTGACTGCATGCTATGGGTGATTTTTTAAAAACTTTTCCTAGATATTGAAGAATGCGTGGTGGATACAACGCTCTGTGCAAATGGAATGTGTTCGAACACAGTTGGCTATTACACCTGTAGCGCGTGTAACTCTGGATATGAATTAAACGATGATGGCACTGCTTGCAATGGTAAGGATATAAAGTCAAATTAGATCTAGTAATCTACTCAGTAATAGTGTCACATCTTACTTTTTAGAGGCATCTTTAACAGGCTTTTGATCCAGAATGCTCTGAATTACAAGTTGTAGGTCTACATGATCTTAGTCCAAAAATAAGTAGGAATTTTAAATCTACTTTTGTTAAAGTACACTCTGCCATTAATGAAAACTTTTAAATCTGAAATGGACATTTAACTTCTTAAATTAGCAATGGAGAGTAAAATGTATAGACTAATCACTATTTTTGTTTACAAATTTGGCAATTTCTTGTTGATTTTTCGTAGCATTTGTTCACTATTTAATTTGACATTAATTTTTACTTTTTTACTCTCTAGATCTAGACCTAGTCTAGATTCTAAAGTGCATGGAGATACAAATAATTGGTGCCAATTTAAGATAAAAAGCTGATTGAATTAGAACTTTAGAAAACTCTTGAATGCAAGCTATGGGTGAAAAAAATGTTTACTTTTCCTAGATATTGACGAATGCGTGGTGGATACAACGCTCTGTGCAAATGGAGTGTGTTCGAACATAGATGGCTCTTACACCTGTAGCCCGTGTGACTTTGGATATGAATTAAACGGTGATAGCACTGCTTGTTATGGTAAGGATGTGAAGTCAAATTAGATCTAGTAGTCTACTCAGTACTAGTGTCACATTATACACTGTTGGTCATAATGGTGGAATAATTATTTTTACCCCAGTTTAGGGAAGGATTTAAAAAAATTATTTATTTCTAATAGATCTAGATAATGGCATACATTCTCAGATTTTATTGAATATTGATTTGCGAGAGTTTCTTTTGCGTGACTGCTGAATCATATGTGTGCTACTATGCTAATCAGCTAGGGAACCTACGTCCTTAAATCATAATTGACAGTAATGAGGATTAATGCCTCACAAAAGGGCACTTATATAGCTGATCGACACGATTTTTATCCTGGGGCCTCACAGTAACGAGGCCATTGCTTAGCCCCTGAATCATGACTATACGCAGTGTTTGCTAGGGTACGCGGCCGCCCCCACAAATCCCCCAAAACGAAGAAAATGCAATGAATTGTCAAAAATTCATTGCAATATCCCCCCGCCCCCAACAGGAAAAATTTCTCTGTGTGGCCATGCCTTGAACCATAATGCATGGCCCTACAGAGGAATTTTTCCTGTTGGGGGCCGGGGGAAAATGCAATGAATTTTTGACAATTTATTGCATTTTCTTCGTTTTGGGGGAATTGTGGAAGGGGCCGCGTACCCTAGCAAACACTGCGTACAGTCATGATTCAGGGGCTAAGCAATGGCCTCGTTACTGTGAGGCCCCAGGATAAAAATCGTGTAGATCAGCTATATATCAATGCCCTTTTGTGAGGCATTAATCCTCATTACTGTCAATCATGACTTAAGGACGCAGGTCCCTTAGCTGATTAGCATAGTAACACACATATGATGAAGCAGTCACGCAAAACAAATACTCGCAAATTAGTATTCAATAAAATCTGAGAATGTATGCCATTATCTAGATCTATTAGAAATAAATAATTTTTTAAAATCCTTCCCTAAACTGGGGTAAAAATAATTATTCCACCAATGAAAATTATTAAATCTTAAATTTGATTATTTAACTTTCTAAATTAGCAATGGAGAGTAAACTGTATAGATCTAGACTAATCACTATTTTTGTTTACAAATTTGGCAATATCTTGTTGATTTTTCGTAGCATTTGTTCACGATTTCATTGGACATTCATTTTTTCTTTTTTTACTCTCTAGTTCTAGATCTAGTCGAGATTCTAGAGTGCATGGATATACAAATAATTGGTGCCAATTTAAGATGAAAAATTGATTCAATTAGAACTTTAGAAAACTCTTGACTGCAAGATATGGGTAACATTTTTTTTACTTTTCCTAGATATTGACGAATGTGTGGTGGATACAACGCTCTGTGCAAATGGAGTGTGTTCGAACACAGATGGCTATTACACCTGTAGCGCGTGTAACTCTGGATTTGAATTTAACGATGATGGCACTGCTTGCAATGGTAAGGATGTGAAGTCAAATTAGATCTAGTAGTCTACTCAGTACTAGTTTCACATTTTACTTTTTAGTGGTATCTTTAACAGTCTTTTGATCCAGAATGCTCTGAATTACAAGTTGTAGGTCTACATGATCTTAGTCCAAAAGTCAGTAGGAAATTTAAATCCACCTCTGTTAAAGTACACTCTGCCATCAATGAAAATTATTAAATCTGAAATGGACATTTAACTTTCTAAATTAGCAATGGAGAGTAAACTGTATAGACTAATCACTATTTTTGTTTACAAATTTGGCAATTTCTTGTTGATTTTTCGTAGCATTTGTTCGCGATTCCATTTGACATTCATTTTTTTTCTTTTTTTACTCTCTAGATCTAGATCTAGTCTAGATTCAGAGTGCAAGGAGATACAAATAATTGGTGCCAATTTAAGATGAAAAGTTGATTCAATTAGAACTTTAGAAAAATCAAGACTGCATGCTATGGGTGATTTTTTTTTAAACTTTTCCTAGATATTGACGAATGCGTAGTGGATACAACGCTCTGTGCAAATGGAATGTGTTCGAACAGAGATGGCTATTACATCTGTAGCGCGTGTAACTTTGGATATGAATTAAACGATGATGGCACTATTTGCAATGGTAAGGATGTGAAGTCAAATTAGATCTAGTAGTCTACTCAGTAATAGTGTCACATTTTACTTTTTAGAGGCATCTTTAAAGTTGATACTCTAAGCAAAGAAATGTCCCTTAATTTGTTACCTACGGCAACTATATGTTATTTTTAAGTTTTTCAATTACTTAGTATATCACAAAAAAATTCTGTCTACCCGAAATCCTCAATTGAATTGTCGAAAATATCCGCCTCTCTTTGCATAGAAAATCAGTCACGGCGCTGGTCTACTATTTATGACTTCACGTCTGGGAAAGAGTATATTCACGTACCCGGATGTTCCATAGCAAACATGTGCAGAGTGATACGATTTTCTGCATATTTTTGTTTCAAAGGCTGAAAAGCCTAATAAATCATAATTCTATGTACAATTCTTTACCTTCCCCTAGTACTTCATAGTATTAATATCAATTCCCCTTTAAAAAAAATATGACATATACATGCCAACGATGCGCTATTAGTCGATATTTTCACAATGTAATTTTTGTTTTGATGTAATTGAAATCGGTCCAGGCACGGAGTGAACAGTAGCTGTCTACCCATGCACAGTTCATTACCATACACTACAGTGATCTCCCGATGGTTTCTTCTTCCTTTTTCCCATGTCTTTCACCTTCCTTGGCCTTGAAGATCCTTCATCTACCAATTCTGACACCGGTAGTCAGGAGCAAGTCTTTGTTAGTTGTTTTTCTTAGCTGGCAACGTCGCTATTCTCTTGCAATTGCCGATAAACATATAACTAGCGCACGTACGTTCCATCACAAGCAAGCAGCGCCTAGAGCAGCGGCTTGGTCTTACCTCCCGATTCTGCTCGCTTCACGAACGTTCATGCAAGAGCCGCATCACTCGCCAAATATTATAGAGGAAGCGCGCTTGCATGATCTCGTTCAAGTTTGATATTTTACAACATAAAATGTTTAACTGGTACTGTATCCTTTTTTGAGGCAGTCACACACATCTATGATAAGTACTATCATAGTTCTAGACCTATTCGTTTTACA